GGACAGGCTGAGGGAGTTGGGCTTGTTCAGCCTGGAGAAGAGAAGGCTGCGGGGTGACCTCATTGCAGCCTATCAATACCTGAAGGGAACCTACACCCAGGAGGGGAGTAAACTGTTCAGAAGGGCTGATAACAGCAGGACTAGGGGAAATGGTTTTAAGTTGAAGGAGGGAAGATTTAGGTTGGATGTTAGGGGGAAGTTCTTTACTAGGAGAGTGGTTAGGCCCTGGAACGGGCTGCCCAGGGAGGTTGTGGATGCCCCGTCCTTGGACGTGTTTAAGGCCAGGTTGGACGGGGTCCTGGGCAACCTGATCTGAATGTCTATGTTTGGTGGCCCTGCCAGGCAGGGGGGTTGGAACTACATGATCCTTGGGGTCCCTTCCAACCCGGGTGATTCTGTGATTCTGTGATTCTGTGACATCCTTGTTATGAACCTTAGCAAGTGTGGGGTAGATGAGAGGATTGGCATCTAGCTGACTGGTAGAGCTCCGAGGATTGTTGTCAGCGGTGCAGCCTGGTTTAGGGCTGCATCTGGGGATGTTCCTTAGGAGTCAGTGCTGGGTCCAGTCTTGTTCAGCATCTTCATCAATGGCCCCAGTATGGTTGAGGCAAATCTGATACAAATCTGGGAGCAGTGGCTGACATACTGGCAGGCTGTACTGCAATTCAGCAAGTCCTGAGCAGGATGGAGAGTTGTGCAGGGAGAAACCTGGTGGAGTTTAACAAGAGCAAGTGTCGAGTCTCTCACCTGTGGAGGAATAAATGCATGCGTGACAGATTGTGTTTTTGCAGTAGAAGCTTCCAGTACCAAGTTACGGAACTTACAATTTTCTTACAGAATGGCTGCATAGGTTAAAATGGCTGGCTAGGTTGTTTTTCACTATAAAGATGCTGAGCAGCAGGATAGAGGGGAGGCTGTGATGCCCTGAGCATGGCAAGAAATTAATCCAGAGAGTTTGGGCAATACCCACTGTGATCATAGATGAACAATGCAAGCTTTTGCAAAGAAATATGCATGGGAAAGACTGCTAAATAATTGTAAATGTATAATTAAATTTATGCTTGCTAGCACAGCATAACAGGTATCATAAATCAGGCATTGGAGTTTAGTAACCTTTAGGTATTTTCTGATCTGGGTTTCTTCTTAAACACGGCTTTCATATGTAAAAGGAAAGGAAAAATACAGAGCAGGGGAAGGAAAGCCTGGCGCAGGATAAAACAGGTTTAACAGTTTCAAGAAATATTGCCCTCCAATGTCCATAGAAATGGACAAAATGATCCTAAAAGCAATAGGTTGCTGATTGACCTCGTGTGGAAAAATGGATTAATAAATGCATCGTGTAAGCCTGGAGTGCCCACCCAGTAGGGAAACAGAATCTCCTGTGATGGGAGAAAGGGATATAATGACAAGTGTTTCACTTATCCAGTGCCATTTTCTCCCTTGTTAGGAGCGGTGCATGCCTGCTGTTGCAACAAATAAAAAAAACTTTGCTGCTTCACTGAAATCTTTGCCTGAACAACAATGATGGAAGCTGGGTGTTTCTCACACGTGTTCCTGTACAGGTTGGGGCACAAGCTGCTGCAGAGGAGCTCTGTGCAGAAGGACCTGGGGTGTGGATGACAGGTCGGCCTTGAGCCAGCAGTGTGCTCTGGTGGCCAAGAAGGCCGAGGGCATCCTGGGGTGCATGAAAAGCATGAAATGCTGCTGTACCCTAGCAAGGCCACATTTAGAATAGCGTGACTGGCTCTGGGCTCCCCAGTTCAAAAAAGACAGGGATCTCCTAGGAGGAGTTCATCAGAGGGTGACAAAGGCAATAAAGGGCTGGAGCATCTCCCATAGGAGGAAAGGCTGGTGACCTTGGCCTGCTCAGCCTGGGGAAAAGACGACTGAGGGGGTTCTGATGAATGTTTATAAATATTTAAAGCGAGGTGGGAGGCAAATGTTAGGGGCCAGGCTCTTCTTGGTGTGCAGTGGTAGGATGAGGAGCAACGGTCTAAAACTTGAACATAAGGAGTTCCATGCAGACATGTGGAAGAACTTCTGTACAGTAAGGGTAATGAAGCACCAGAGCAGGTTGCTCAGAGACGTTGTGGAGTCTCCTTCTCTGATGGTATTCAAGATCCATCCTGATGCCTACCTGTGCAACCTCTTGTATAGAACCTGCTTTAGCAGGGGAGTTGGACTTGATGATCTCTTCAGGTCCCTTCCAATCCCATTCCAATCAATTCTGTGATTCTGTGAATCAGAATTGGAGAATCTAGAAGTGCTGAATGATCGTGGAAACATCGTAGCATCCACAATCTTGGAAATACAGTCAAGATACACAGCACTGTGATAGAATGGAGGAAAAAAATTACCCTTAATTGCCCTTGAAGTACTCTGAAATCAAGGAGTCTAGAATCCTTGCAGAACTTGACTCAGGCAAGCAAACACTAAGGACCTCAGCCTTTCCCTCCCTGCATTTCCCTCACATCTCAGAAAGGATGAGAATCCTCCTGTGTCCTCCTTCAGTTGCTGATATACTTAGAGCAGCATTTTTAATTGTCCTTAATGGTAGAAGGCAGATGAAGCTCCAGCTGTGCTTTGCCCTCCTAATTTCTCCCTGTGGGGCCTTACAGCACCTTTGCAGTCCTAATTTGGTGCTGGGCAGAAGCAGATCAGCATTAACAGGAGTTAGCGGGCACAAAATCACAGTTTGCTCCCTCGCTCCCTCAGAGGGAAATTTTGCAGGGAGCGAGCTCACAACTGATGGCATGGAACAGCATCACTCGGCACTGCTTACGGGATGGGTCATCTCAGAAGTCAAAGCACTGCAAGTTGCAAGTGCTCAGAGGTTTGTTTCCTCAAAAGATGTACTTTAAATTCCATTTCTAATACTGAACTTAATACAGGGAGGGAACTGAGGTTTATGATCTTCCTGAAAGGAATCCAACACCACCGTGCCCTTCTCAAAGCCTCCTTTTGTGGGGAAGTCTCTGACTCTCAGGAATGCGGTTGGAGACGCAGCAGCACACCGCTGTGGTTAAAAGCTGTGAGTCTACTCTGTTGTTCAGCACTGCTCTCTTCATACATGTTAACAGAGCGTTCTGCAAAATACTCTGACCGTTCACAAGGGCGCTTATCCAGTCAGAGCTGTGAGACCTTCTTTCTTCTTCCAAAGGTGTCCTTGGTTCTCATGCTGCTTATCTTGCTCCACAGCTGCCGCTCTGAACAGTTTCTCTTGTATTCCCACCTCCTTTGGCATAATTCATGGAAGGAAGAGTGCTCACGTGCACTACACAAACAAAAAGAGCATCTCTGACCTCATAGACTTGCACATTGCCATGCTAATACTCCATGGGAGAAACATAAAATTACCCCATTTGTTTCCTGCAATTGATCTGTCTCCTTTTTCCACACCAAACATATATTCAAAAATTTCATTTGCAGCAAAAACATGGAGGCTAAAGTTAAAATACAACAACAAACACGCTACTTTACATGTAGAGATTTGGGAATGTGTGCTGTCTATGAGGATGGAGTTCTATCCTTCAGCATTCCAACAGCCCGTGTGCTTTAAAGCACAGCACTCGAACGATTTTTTCAAGTTGCTGTTGTGTTCTGACTCTCTGACTCTGGATTCTCCGATTTCTTGATTCCACACCAATGCACAAAGCTGTGCTCAGAAACAGCCCCTCATGTGTCATTCCAGTTCCTTCCCCTGCATTGTGTCACCCAGCTCTGGGAACACTGCTTTTGGATCAGATCCTGCAGGCAGCAGAGCTCTTCCCGTAAGAATGCTCAAAGACCAGAAGTGAAAGCAAAATTGACAGATTGCACATAACGTCCAGCAGCGGAGCATCCGGCAGCAGAACACCCTCAGTGGGGCTCAGGCCGCAGCTGCTGCAAAGCCTGTGGTCCCTTGGTGCCCGGGGATGCTTTCACCTTCATCTTCTCCTCTGAGGATGGAATGAGCGACTCGTGATCCCATGGAGTCTGAGTCTAGGTGATAAATTGCATCGCGTGCTGATGAACAGCTGATCGCCGAGGCTCTGGGTGAGTGAGAAGTCGGGGGAGCTGAGGATTCTAGGTAGTAAGAAAGCTGTGCTAACTGCTGGAAGTTCTGTGCAACAGCCATCTATGCTAAAGCTAGAAGTTGTAGGTAATGGTAAGCAGTGCTGCTTGCTAGAATGTTGATGGATTCCTGCACTCAGCTTGTAACCAGGGCCCTGAGGTCTGTCCTCACACCTGCCAGGGATGCCACAGTGGGATAAGCAGTGGCTCATGGCAATCCCAATGCCCTGTAAGCCCACGACTGTGTGCACAGCTGTGCGTGAGAGTGGCCGGGACAGAAACATCTGGGGGAGCTGGGAGGAGTGCAGTGGGGAAGTAATTGTTTCCACATTGATGATTCAGCAGCAACTGTGACAGAGCAACAAAACTCCACTGCTTCGTACACACGTTCCAGAATTAGGAACTGCTGAACTCGAAGCAGGTATTGTAAATACTTTGGCTTGGCTTGATGTGATGCAGACTGTTCCTTTAAACAACTTGAGCTCTGAAATTGAATTGTATGTATAATTAACCATTCAAAATTATTGGGCTTTAGGTGATCCTTTAGCACTGCCAGGTGGAACACCGTCTGTTGGATTATGCTAAATTATCAAATTACCCTAATCTAAACAAGGCAAACACAAGATAAATGTCATCCAGACCCAGGTTCTCACTTTTCACCAAATGGTTCCAGAGCGACCCTTGGTGAAGAGCCTAACAGCTGTTTGCTCTTGCCTCTGGTCCTAAAATCTTCATGGAAGCTCCTGTTGTAACCACAGCACGGTAACCAGTCATTCTGGAGGAATTCCCAGAAGAAGGTTCTTGTTCCCATTGAATCAGGTGAGAGTCCCAAATATCCTGAAAGGCTCCTGCTGTAGAGAACTGCATTTCCAAAGCCTCTTCACTGCAGCAGCACCGTGCTGAACAATGGCATCAGGAGGCAGGAAGGAGAATGCAGTGGCTGAGCTCCTATGGTACAGCCTGGAGCAACTGGGGAAGCATGCTCTCACAGAGTTCAAGGCTGAACTCAGCAAGATCCAGCCTAAGGAGGGGTACGAGTGCATCGAGCTGGACAGTGTGACGGATCTGTCGCCAGCAGCGCTCGCCAGCTTGCTGTACAGCCACTTTGGGCAGTCCCACTGCGTGGAGGTGACAGCAGATGTGCTGTGGGCCATGGGATGGATGGCTCTGGCCAACGATCTCCTGGACAAGCTGAACCAGGGTGAGCTGAGGGAGGTGAGGTCCAGGAATGGGCCGCAGCAGCTCTGAGTCACCAAATCACCACATTCCTCCTCCTGTTCTCTGCAAGGGGCAAGGTTTGTTGAATGGAGCAGTGACCTCCTAATCCAGAAAGTCTATAACGTGGATGGGACCATGAAGGAACTCCTCCAGGAAGGTGTGCTGAGCTCTGAGCAGCATGACAGCATCATGGCAGAGAGCACCAACCTGAATAGAATGCAGAAGCTCTATGAACTGGTGCCAGCATGGGACGTCACAGCCAAATATTGCCTGTATGATGTACTGATGAGAAATAATCCCTCCATCTTCTTGCAATATTTAGGTAAGAATGTACCCTGATAATCTTCCCAGCTGGGAAATTTGTCCAAAGAGAGGCCAAGCCTTCAGCAGAATGGGGGGAATGTGGGCGCATCTCTATGCCTTTGTCCTTGGGTTGGACAGGAGACACTTCTATGGGAGCTGGTGCTCAACAGCAGCAGACACGTGGGAGAGAATGTTAAGAGCACCTGAGAAAGATGCATGCTTTGAGCTTCATGACAGCTCAAGTGGATCTTTAATCCTACACTTATTCACCACTGTCTGTCTAATCTCTGCAGCAGATACCAGGGCTGAATCATGCTTTGATGAGTTCAGGATCGAAGAACAAGGTGAGCTCTGAGCTGCTAAGCGCTGTCACCCTTTGCTGAACTGCATCACCCTCCCGACATCCCCTCCTTCCCAGTCTATGCAGTAATCCCTTTTAAGATGGACAAGGATCCAGGCTGTCCTCAGCTTTTGCTTCTCCTCCCTGAGCTATGCACTCAGTGCTGCAGGACGCCACTCTCTTTTACTCTCACAATCCACAGCAAGTTCCTCCCCCTGTTGCTCAAATGCACTTCTATCAGTTAGGAGCTGTGTTGCTCTTCCCCAGTGAGACTTCCAAAAGGCATCAATGCACCCTGCACATCTGCACTCACCACTGTCTTCTCTCTCCTGCAGATACCTCCTGGGCCGGTCCTGTGACATATCCAGGTGAGATGGAAATGCCAGGTAAGCCCTGAGCTACTTGGCTCCGTCACCCCTTTGCAGAGCTGCATCACCTTTCCAATGTCCCTCCAGTCCCAATCTGTGCAGTAAGATGGACGAGGACTCATACAGTCTTTGGCCATGGGTTCCCCTCCCTGAACTATGCACTCAGCAATGCAGGATGACACCCTATGGTTTTTGCAGGCCAAAGCAACTCCCTCCTCCCGTTGTCCAAATGCGTTTCTCTTGTTAGGAGCTGCTTTGCTCTGCCCCAAGGAGCCTTCCCTAGGAAATCGAGACAATCTCTTCACCCTGCACACGTCAACCTCACACTGGTCTCCTCTCTCCTGCAGACATCTGCCTGTCCAGTTCTGTGATCTATCCAGGTGGGATAGAAGAAGCAGGTGAGCTCTGATCTGCTCAGCACTGTCACTCCTTTGCTGAACGACATCACGCTCCCAGTGTCCCTTCCCATTCCAATCTGTGCAGTAAGATGTACAAGGGTCCAGACAGTCCTTGTCATTTGCTTTCCCTCCATCAGCTATGCATTCAGCACTGCAGGATGGCACTCTATGACTCTACAGTTTTCACAGGCCAAAGCAAGCCCCTCATCCTTTTGCCCAAATGCATTTTTCTTGTTAGGACCTGCTTTGATCTTGAGCAGGGTTTGCTGTGACAGAAGAAGGGGAAATAGTTTCAAACTAAAGGAGGGAAGATTTAGGTTCCATATAAGGAAGAATTTTTTTACACTAAGGGTGGTGAGGCACTGGCACAGGTTGCCCAGGGAGCAGTTGGATGTCCCATTCTTGGAGACAATGAAGGTCAGATTGAACTGAGCAACCTGATCCAGCTGCAGATGTCCCTGTTCATGGCAGGGGATTTGGACTGGATAACCTTTAAGGGACTCTTCCGATTCAAACGATTCTGGGATTCTATGATAACAATGGAAATGCAAGCACAGAGTGGAGGGGAAGAGGCCATTGCAGATTGTGGGGATGGAGAGATACAGGAGACAACTGTGTTACTTTACAGCAATATCTGAGAGCACAGATACAAATTGGAGAAAACTGATGGGAAATCAAAATCTGCTCACACCATGTGCGCCTCCAGAACATGAGCCTCCACAGATGGAGAGTGACAGTGGCACACACTCAGGTGCCAAATGCATGGCGTGTCCCTGGCCAGAGGTAAGGTGCTGGGCTCTCCTGCTCTTTTCAGAGAGGCTTTTTGGGCCACCCTTGCATGCTTCCATCTCTGGTGTTTCTCACCAGGGATTCAGGGCCTGGAGCACTTCTGCCATGAGGAAAGCCTGAGAGCACTGGGTGGCCCAGAGAGGATCTAGAGTTCCTTCTCTGAGGTTCTTCAAAAGCCAGCTGGACATGGGCCTGGGAAGCCTGGTCTGGGTGGCCCTGCTGGGGGGTTTGGACTGTGTCATACGATTCTAGAATCATTAAGGTTGGAAGAGACCTCTCAGGTCATCGGGTCCAACCATTAATCTGCCTGAACATGGAATTATAGAATCAAAGAATCATAGATTCATAGAATGACAGAATCACAGATGTCATGGAATCATGTAGGCTGGAAAAGAGCCATAAGATCAAGTCTAAACATCACCTAACACAACAAGTCCAGCACTATACACTTCCCTAAATGCTTCATCCACACTTCTCTTATATCCCTCCAGAGATGAGGACTTCATTAAGCAAAACTGTCTCCAACACTGAGCCTAAACATGTCTGTGCTTCTCTGCTTCTTCTTCAGGATGACAGGGCAGAAGAAGTGAAGCCAGAGATTACTGGAGGCAAAGAAGGCAAGAAAGAGAAATACAGGTGAGCACGTGATGGCTGGGAGTGCTGAGAAATGGCCAACAGAAGGCAGGGTGATCCCACGGCCAGGTGTCCAGCCTGACAGTCTCTTTCTCCTCTCCTTCCATGCTGCACAGAGCTCATTTCCCTCGGGCCGGTTTCTTCCGCTGTGCTGAGACAGAGCTCAAGTTCCTGGTGAGGACGGCCACCACTGTTGAGTACGAGTACTCCTTCTGGGAACGTCACCTGCCTGATGGGATCCCCGCTGGATGGATGGAGGCTGGACCGGTGTTCGACATCCGTGCTACGCTGGGTGCTGTCGAGGCCATTCATCTCCCTCATTTCCTGTGTCTCGCAGGTAACGCAGTGAGGATGATGGCTTGGTGGCTGAAACAGCCCTGGGGGAACATCAGCACTCTCCCCAGTAGGGCAATTTGATCTGTGACACATTTTGACCGTTCGCAGAGGGAAATGTGAACACGTCTGAGATGCGTATCAGCCATGTTGTCAATGGGAACCTGCTCCTGGAGAAGCCTGATGCAGTGAAGCCATTCCATGCAGAGTTGAGGGACCCCAGTTTCTCCCCCATGGGAGTCATCTTGCTTTCTGCCGCATTCCCCTTCATCCCCGTGCACTCCCTTGTGCTGCTCTACCGTGTCATCAGGGCTGCCGACATCACCCTTCACCTCTACCTCATCCCTAACAACCACGGCCTGGAAAAGGTGAGTGCAGCTCTGATTCCATGTTTGATTTTGTGGCTCCAAAGATGGTCATGTTTGAGCAGTTAAGAGGTGGGTTCCTCCATGGAGAGATTGGGTTCATGTGGTACAAGCAAGCCTTTGGCAAAACGGCTCCCATGAGTCACGACGCTAATCCTGCCCACCAGATCTCCTTGTAGCTCTTCCTACTTGCTTTCTCTCCTTGCTTTTCTCTCACTTCACCCATCATCATTTCTCCCCACGGTCAATGTACAATATTTTGCAGGTGGTGGACAAGGATGAGAAGAGACGAGGCCATTCACTCTTGGTGAACAAACCTCCCCAGACCAAACGACCGCTGAACTTTAATACATGGTACCGCGTATCTGGTCCTTCACAGGCAGAGATAAACCCTCAAGTGAGTTGGGCCGTGTGCCTCACAACTGCTGTGAAGGATGGCAATGCTCTGACATGCCAACCTGCTTCTGCCAGGAGCTGAAATTTGTCTACCTGACATCAGACAGCCGCCAGCTCCACACCGAGATCTACAACAAAGACCTGCAGGAGGGAATGCAGCTCACTTTGATGAAGGTCGCCCAGGAGGGTGAAAAGGAGTGTGACCCACTGTGGGCTGCCTTCCTGAGGGCAGGTAGGAAGGACGTGATGCAGCCCTGGGTTCACTGAGGCCTGAAATGAGGCCTCAAGTTTGGTAAGGGAGCGGGGGTTGCTGACATCTGTCAGGCAAGTGTGTGTGTCCAAGCCTCCTGTTTTCAATCTGTACCCTCCACTCTCCTTTTTTGCTCTTCTCTAGGGGACATTGAGCCTCCAGCTGCCTCTCCTCCTTCGTACTCAGGTATGTTCTTCCTTTAGGGGGAGTGGCTTTGGCCTGGAGGTCCAGGTCTTGGTCAATCCAATGTGGAGAGAGAGTTTCTTTGTTCTCCCTAACGTACCCCAGAGAGCTGGAGGGGAAGGCCATGAGGCCGTGATGTCAAATCAGAAAGAATACTTCAGAAACCTAGGTAGAGATGGAGGTGAGGAGGACTGGGATGAGTTCTGCATTTGGGCTGTTCCCTTGTGTGAAGTCTTGGCAGAAGAGGGAGATGTGATGTGAGATGGCTTAATCTGCCATGCCAAGAGCGAACAAGAAGCAGCGATAAGGGTCCTTCAGTCTTACCAAAGGCGGGATGTTTCCTACTCAGCAGCAGCACCCAACCACTCGCTCTTCTACCGTAGCAGGGCTACATTTTGTGGAGCAGCACCGAGAGCAGCTGATCCAACGAGTGACATCTGTCAGCACTGTCCTGGACCGGCTCTACGGGCACGTCCTGAGCAACGAGCAGTACCAGAGCATCCGAGCAGTGCCCACCATGCAGGAGCAGATGCGGCTCCTCTACAGCTTCGTGCCCAGCTGGGACGTCGCCTGCAAGGATCTGTTCCTGGACGCTCTGAAGGCTACCAACAGTCACCTCATCCAGGACCTCCAGGGACAGTGAAAACCATCTCAGGGAGGTTCTGAGTGAGCTCAGCTCATGGGCACCTTGGGAAGATGAGCCCCTGGATGGGCTCTAAATGACTCAGGGAGCCCTGAGCAGGAAGATTCTGTCTCATTACAATCTCATTTTCATGCTGATGGTATCATGCTTTATCAAGTAATTAGCCCTTAATGAGCCTAAAGACCAATTTCAGGGCAATTTCCCTTCCTTGCTGACACCAGAGTATTATCACTTTTGACACACTTGGGGCTGAATTGTGCCCTTTTCACTCGTTCTTCCCATATTTGTCATCAATTTTTCCCACTTTTCTGTCCTCGGGGGACAACTTTGAGACTGTGAACCCATTGTTTTTCCCTTTCACTTTTCTTCGGTGGACTCTGGGAGCAATGCATTAGCAGCAATTGCTTCCAGAGGTAAAGAAATGTACAGGGACAGTTTTCCCTATCATCACGTAACTCATTTCATTTAAATCGACCTTTGTGGTTCAGCCATTCAGGCCTTGAAATTCCCAAACACACCAGGGCAGGGCATTATCCCTCCAATAATAACCTCCAACAGAGCAAGAAGAGCAACATTAAAAGTACCAAAGTATCAGATGCTTATTGACATAATTCCACCGTTGTGTTGGCCTCAAGGGAGTGGGAGGTGGTAATGTGCATGATACACAAGGTCATCTGGGATATCAGCCACATTGCGCCCAAGCTGCAAGGATGGGGGCTGGGTCTGACAGAGTGGGGCCTGAGGAGGTGGGTTCTACACAGGATTATGTGTCTCCATGGGGTCTTCATGAGGTAGAGGTTGTCAGTGGGGCTAGGCTCCAAGGGTTGTGGGGTCCCCATGGGGGGTAGGGTCTCCACAAGATACAGCTTGTCAATAAGATGGGCTTTCATTCGTTATAGGGTCTGTGTGGAAGTTAGGGCCTCCAAGGGGTGGATCTTCCAAGTGTTTACACAGTCTGCATGGGATACAGGGGGGTCAGCAGAACTGCTGTCCTGGACTTCTGGAGGGCAGACGTCCAGCTGTTCAGAGCAGCCATGTCCAAACGGAGGCCCAGCACAGCTTGCAGTGCAGCCGCTCCTCTCATCAGTGTGCTGCGAACCCGACCTGGGCTGAAAGCAGGGACAGGGAGGGCACAGCGCAGCGCCAGCTCAGGTTACGGCAAACCAGTTTATGCATTTTATTACGTTGCCTTACAGTCCTGTGAGAACAAAAAAGATGCAGCCAGGTTTTTTTTGTGGTAAAGGAATGCGAGGATAAGTTTCAACATGACTGCCTAAAAAAGTCACTAGTTTATTTGTGACTCCATTTTCTGTCGATGTAAGTACGTTCCCTGTGGATTTGCAACCGGAATCTTAGTTGCAAATAAAGTTGCAATCAAAAATCTGATCATGTCTCTTTACCAGACTTGGATAAGCCCTCTGTGACAGAGAGAAACACCCCTTGTTTCACAGTCACACCATCCTCCTGTCACTGCTGTTTGGCTGTATGTACATTTGTCAACAAGTGTTTTCAAGGATGAAGCACAGAAAGTAAAACTCCATCAAGAATCTCTGACAAAGACCTTGACAACTCACTGAGAATTGCAATCACTGCCACTGAATCTGACCGATAAGGTACTTTCACAACAAGGTCACATATCCCACTGGTTTTATATTACTGTTGCTTTCTTTTTAATACCTTATAGTGAAAGATCATTAAAAATTAAAGTAACATTTGTACTTGTGTACATTACGTATACCATACATTTAATGAGGACTGCTCCAAAGGTAATGCCTCCTGTTTGCCCACAACAACAGAGCTGCACGTTGGTGGGAAAGCAGTAGAGGTTGAACCTTCACACCAATTTTCCACTAACTTTTGTTTTCACACAACAGGCAGCTGCCTCAGCTCGGCCTCGGCCCAGGGGCTTCCAGAGGCCTTCCAGCAGCTGCATGGCCCCCCTCAAACTGCACTCCAATACCTCCACCACAGCCCCCTGCAGCCGCCCCGCACTTTCCCCCCTCACTGCTGCAGCAGTGAGAAGATCACCAGGGACACCGCTGGCAGCGGCACTCGGGCCCCATCTACCTCCTCCTCCTCCTCGCTCTTCGACACCTCCCCTGGAACCTTCAGCCTCGCTCAGGGGGTTTTCGCCACATTTCCCCTGAGCGCTGGCTCTGAGCCGCTCTCCTAGGCCTCGTCCAGCACCAGCGTGGGGGAAAGGCGGGCAGCCATGGTGTGGGAGAGGGGAACAAAAGGGAGAAGAGGGAGTCGAGAGGACACGGGCTCCCTTAGGCATGCAGACCCCCGGCCGCTTACCACTGCCAGACCCTCGCCCCGAGTCCAACAGGAGCACCCCAACAAA